TTAATTTTCAACACTGTGGGATTGTCTGTGGCCACTTAGCCTGCACATGATAAGGGTAGTGATTACCAATCAAAGTTTCTGTTTTTTTAATTACATCTCATAAAATTCAAATCCTTTTTTCCTCTGAGAACCTTATGTAGGATCAAATTAAATCTTTTTTTAATGTTTGTTCAAATTTTATACCATCCATCTAGCAAATTGCTACTCTGGGTGGTGTACAACAGGAATAAAAACACAATTTATATAAGACAAATTATAATACACTAAGCCTACTCTTCACAACAGGTAGCAACAAGGCAGGTGGAAAAATTCTAACAAAATGATATTCTGAAGCTGCCCATATTTGTGTAGCGCTAGAATGATGCCTTGGGGCCCAGATCATTACCCAGCCACTGCTCATTCATGGATTGTACTGGAATGTCATTACATTCATTCATCTTAGGATTCCCAAGTTTGTGTAAAAGTATATACAGGAGATTTGGATAGGCCCAACTACGTCGGGGTGAAGGGTGTCAAAGCAGTGCCTCTTATATTCCTTTACTAGGGTGAGAAGTTGCATTTTCCTTTCCAGAAATGGAATCCACTAAAATAAGCACATTGTTTTTTGCTAACGCAGAGTGCAAGTACAGCCAGTCTAATCCAGAATAAAGCTACATAGGGGGGATGCAAAGAGCGAAAGCAAGAATGATGCATCATTCCAACTGGTTTTGATCTAAAAAAATCCCATCAACCCTGACAAGTATCACCAGTGGTGAGGGATTATGAAAGGCGTCATCCCAAAACACCAGGAAGGCCACAATCATCCAATCCTGCAATCCATATCTGGTTGCCCGGGCTTATTTTGTGTAAGAAAAAAAGGGCATAACTGCTGGCTATGCGTCTGATGTCTTCTTAGAGCCAGTTAGACCTTCAAAGATGTACTGGGTTCCAGAAAGCTTTTAAGTCAGACAAAATTCAGGCAGAAGCCCGTCTACAAAAGTGCAAATAAGTTAACTATTAATATTGTGTTGCACAGCTATTCTTTCTTTTGCTTTGTAAGTCACATTTTCCTGTTTCATATGTGGAGACAGGCAGTCAACACAACGCAGGAATGCTGTTCTCTACCACAAAAGTTGGCTGCCTGCAGCATCCTACATTCCAGATACCTTTACACAAATGGTGCCAATTAATAGGATAGATTATAACCAGAAGATTCTCCCCTCCCCCCCCCAAGCCCCGTATTATCTGTAGGGAATGGAAAGGACATGGAGATGTTAACAGATTGTACTGCAGAGGGGGAAAAGGGGAGGGATAGGGAGATGAAATCAACAGGTGTTTCCTTAAAAGCCACAACTAGTTACAGAAGAGGAAATGGATCTCTTGCAGCTGCAAATCATTAGCATCTCTAATGCATCTGCAAATTCCTACTGTGAAAAATCAGCCTGTAAAAACAGATCATTTCCAATAAGTGCCTTGTCTATCTTCCTATACCATTTAATTTCACATGATTTTTATGAGAACTATATTACTATACATTTCACCTCCCATATGGTTCTGATTTGACAATAAAATGTTTGTGTCCTGCTCTGCTCTTTCCTGGGCTTTAGAACACAGATGTCTCCAGAAGGACATGACTACACAAGGTCATACTCCTGTCTCCAAACAAACAACGCCAAGGCTGCCTTTTCCGCTTCTCTCCATCAATCATCAGTAGAGATGATGGCTTAGGAAATGCACCTGGGCCAGAGATACTGAAGCAGTCTAGAAAAAGGCCCCAACAAATTCAAGTTTTATTTTTTTTTTCTAACAGCATTTCTGTCATACTGTTTAGTTTCTAAATCTTTATAAAAATTCTGTATTTAGCAACTCCTATAATAATTAGACTGTTTCAAAATAGTGCTCTGGAGAATGTTTACAGTTTACAGATATGCTCATCCTTAAAAGACAATATTTAGAGTTAAAAACGAGTATAAAAATACTTCCAACTCCGGGAGGTACAGTAGTGGAAGACAGGAGAGCCTGGCGTGCTCTGGTCCATGGGGTCACGAAGAGTCGGACAGGACTTAACGACTAAACAACAACAATAAAAATAATGGTTTCCATTATTAAAAGAAAATATTTAAAGCTAAACAATAAGTATACAAATACAAGAAAGGATCAAACAAATACCACTCTAAGAAAAGGTAAACAAGAGAAACACCAAAAACGCATTCAAAGAGTAAGGCAAAACAATCCATTAAAAAAACCTACTCAGGCAGCCAGTCACTGAGAGAAAACTTGCATGAAGAGAAAGGTCTTTGCCTGTTTGAAGAAGGACTATAGGTAGAAGCAAAATAATAATAAAAAGTAAAAAAAAAAGACAAAAAATGTAGTGGCACGTTAAAGACTAACTTTTATATTTTTTAATGTGTGATTTCCTGGACAAGTTCACTTCATCAGTTGTCTGATTTCTGATGAAGTGGACTTGTCCACAAAAGCTCACATTAAAAAAATAAAAAAGTTAGTCTTTAAGGTGTCACCACATTTTTGTCTTTTTTAACTTTTTATTTTTATTTTGTTTCTACCTATAGTCCTTCTTCAAACAGGCAAAGACCTTTCTCTTCATGCAAGTTTTCTCTCAGTGACTGGCTGCCTGAGTAGGTTTTTTTAATGGATTGTTTTGCCTTACTCTTTGAATGCGTTTTTGGTGTTTCTCTTGTTTACCTTTTCTTAGAGTGGTATTTGTTTGATCCTTTCTTGTATTTGTATACTTATTGTTTAGCTTTAAATATTTTCTTTTAATAATGGAAACCATTATTTTTATTGTTGTTGTTTAGTCGTTAAGTCCTGTCCGACTCTTCGTGACCCCATGGACCAGAGCACGCCAGGCTCTCCTGTCTTCCACTACTGTACCTCCCGGAGTTGGAAGTATTTTTATACTCGTTTTTAACTCTAAATATTGTCTTTTAAGGATGAGCTGCCTTGGTCCTTTTAAAGGCGAAAAAGGTGGGATAAGAATATGTTAAATTAATTAATTTAATAAATATTTCTACTGCATCAAAGTTCAGAAACTGTAACAGCTGGGGTACGCTCTGTTTCTATTAGAATCTTTTTTGCCGCTACTGTACTAACAAGTAATAATTGCTCCAGAAATTTCATGCCTTCTTCAAACAGCCAATCAAAAATTGGGAGGATCAACCAAACCTGGCAGCTGTAGCTTTTTTCAGAAATTTCGTTCTTACAACAATAAAAAAAAAATCCAGAGTACAGTAGACTATAAGACAAGGGACCACTTGTGTACCCCACCCCCAAAACTGCAGGGAGCAAGATAAAAGAAAAACTCCTCCATTATCTGATTTCTAAGACTGATGTTTTCCTCCAGAGAAAGAATCAGCACTCATAACCTGATACCTCAACACTTACTATATACAGATTATAAGATCAGCACCTTTACTCTATTCCCTCAGTATCACAGCTGGAGAGGCCCAAATCAAATAAAATTATATATTTGCAAACTTTCCATCTTCTGCATGGTATCTAAAGGACAAAACAGAAATAATAGATAACAATTTCTCAATTTAAAAGAAACCATAGATGGTTGAAGCAATCAATTATTGGAACAGCAGTACTTATGGAAAGTGGGTAGATACTTTTCTTACTGTGCTCCTTGCCTAATCATGACTGCCCTACAAAACTGTTACTATCAGTACAGGAGGAGAAAAAGAAGATATGCATAATACTGTAGGGTTGCTAGAAATCCAAGGGATAATTCTGATCAGGAACACAATTGCAAGGAGTTTAAAACGTACTTCCTCCAACAGAATTGCCACTTCAATAAAACCAAGCACTTCCCCTGCCTGGCTGCTTTCAAGGGAAAAAACATTTTTAAATATATAATAGCAAGGGCACATTTATTTGTTTTAATTATTCCAGGTCTCACTGAACGCTTATGTCCCCAGGAAAACAGATCAACCAAGTTTCAATTCATTTTTCAGAGCAGACAGATACAAACACCACCTTCATACTCATAAGTTAGTAAAATATCTGAAATTCTTGGCCACAAGTCTCATAAAAACCTTTTCCCAAAGTAATTTCTAGGGGAGTAGAAATATCAGTTGATTGCAAGTAAAATAACAAAAAGTCTTAGGGTAGCACCTTAAGAACAAACGAATTTATTATGCCACACTTTTGTGGACTACATCCCACTATAAGCAGATGTAAAGTACTGCCCAGAATTTCAGGGTTTTTGTTTTATTTATAAATATGTATAAAACATCAGTATATGAAGATTTCAAAGTAGCACATAGCAATAAAACATATAACTAAAGCAATACATAAAGATGCATTTACATTGTCCATAAAATAGACAATAAGGCTGAATTATGCCAGGAAGACTTGGAAAAACAGGCTTCAACATATACCAAAAAATAAGAATTCTTTGATCATTTCCAGTATCAGAAGAAGACTATACTGGCAGGATATAAATGCAACATATAAATAAATATAAATAGTACCATGCTCTGAACAATCACATGAGTAACAGAGGCATCTATATGCAGTATAAAAATTATATATAGCTATGCAACTTTAGGACAAAACCCAAGTGGAAAATACTTGAACCGCCCAAGATTTAGTCACTGACTTTAAGAGGCCACTGTGGAAGACAGAAAGAGAAGATTAGAAGCAGGAAAATGTCTGAATTATAATTCATCAGTGAAGTAATACTAATCCCCAAAAGCTTGAATCAGACTGAAAACTTACTATCACACAACTTGCGTTAATTGGCATACTGATAGATGCTTATTCTATCAGGAGCTATGGTTTTGTGAACAGTCACTGCTAGCAATGCATGATTTCTGTCTGAACTCTCTCTTTATAATAATCACAAGCCAGATGCACTGTATATACACACAAAATTCTGGGTTAATAATGCATATGTCTGATAAATTTAGTCACCCAATTTAGTTGTTTGGGTGGCACAGAATTTCTTTTGTAGTTGCGTTTTTAATAAAAATACGAATTTTGCACATAATTTGTCTTACCTTCCTCTTTCTACTGCCAAGGCATCGATTTCATCAAAGAACAATATGGAAGGAGAAACAGTTCTGGCTTTTCTAAATATCTGACAAAACCACAAAAAGATAACAAAAATAAACATAAAATCAAACTGTTGAAATATATTTTGCATTCAAGTTCCATTTAAACTCCAAGGTCTACAAATAACAGTTCACCAGAACATGTAAGCTTCAGATTCAAGTGAAATCCAGTAAAATGCCTCTAGTGGGGGACTCTTACACAGGTGGGTCTTCCCAATGGGTTTAGAGAACCTAGATGTAGAATATCTACCATTTTAAATACATACATTGCCCCTCATTTGGTATTTTTCTGGGGAGTTGAAGGTAATTAAAATGGCAGACAAATAACAATGTGGCAATCCCAAAACTGGCCACACTAAGCAGTGGGCTTGGTCAAGGAACCTTTAAGTTCCTAGCTCAAGTAGGTAATTCCCTCTCTCTCACACACACACACACACAAACACTAACTCTCCCTGAAGATTCAGACAACGAGATGAGATAATACTACTTTTTTGTGGTACAGTGAATGATGTGGTAACTATTTTCCAAGGATCATTCTTAACCATAAAATCTTAAAGAGATCACATATTTCAGAAAGTGATGAGGCATCAACTTGCTCTATAGTTAAAATAGAGAATGGCCTTTAAACAGTTACTATTTCTCAAAACAAACAAACAAAACACCAACTAAGTTAGATCAGAATACCATGTGTCTGAATTCACATTCACATGTCCCAGTACTTTGACACTGCCAAACTTTGATAGAATAAAAATTCTCCTAATCATTTGGGATCTCTATTCTGAGGCTAATTAAGAGGTTTACAGAATTGTAATGCAATATATAGAGTTGTAATACAACTTGCTTGCATTTTTATAATTGGAAAAAGGAATTGCAAGTAACTAGTTATTTGTAATTCAGTTACTTCCAAGCTAAAGTCTCACCTCCCGGACTGCACGTTCAGATTCTCCAACATATTTGTTCATTAATTCTGGTCCCTGCACAAATGAAAAGGGGAAAAAAGTAGGAAAAGGAAAAAAGTAACTTCAAGTACTTTTCATTGTGTGGTACATATTTTAGGCTTTAAAAATACATTTCACTGTAACATTGTTGATGTATCTATTCTTCGGCAAGAGACACTTGGTTACCTTGTCACATACTTTGACTGAACTACTAGGAAACTACAAAGGACTAGTATGGAAAAAATTTGAAAAATTATTTAGTACAAAATGTGGTAGACTGTGAGCTGACTTGGATCTGCTATATGGAGCGTGTTCCTCTGATTTTATTCAAGCTGCGTCGTCGTTTAGTCGTGTCCGGCTCTTCGTGACCGCATGGACCAGATGGGGCCCTCCTATCTTCGACTGCCCTCCTATCTTCCACTGCCCTCCTATCTTCCACTGCCCTCCTATCTTCCACTGCCTCCCGGAGTTGTGTCAAATTGATGTTGGTTACTTCGATGACACTGTCCAACCATCTCATCTCAAGCTGCACTGACATACAATTAATTTCCAGTTTCCCAGACTGAATTCAAGGTGCCAGTTAAAAGTACAAAACTCTTACTAATTTAGAACTCCCTCAAATACTAAGGGTGTGGGCTTGGATGTCAAGGTAAACCATGGTTTAAACAAGCCAAAGATTTAAGTTAAAAAAAACCTGTATTTCCAGATTGTGGTTTATGTATAAGCAGTTTGTAACAGGAGTGTGGACCACTCTACACTGAAATTAAGAGGTCTGCCCCCCATGAAATCAAAAGCCACCCCTTAGTTTGCAGTTAGTTAACAAAACATGGTTTGTTAGTCAAGGAATATTCAAACATCACAAGAAGCTAGATTTCAACAAACCAAACCACTGTAAATTCTGATTTGTGAATATAATCAATCAATGGTCAGGATCTTACAAGTGTTTGTGTAAAGTCTGCTTAAACTGACACAGGCAATTACAGGTAATTAACAAAGTCCTGGAGTGCCTCTCAAGCAGCCACATCATCAAGCATATGACTGAGGCACACCCTAGCACCTCATCAATTAGCCTTGGTAAGTTACTCAAGCATTACATGAATCCTAATAGGATTCCAGCCACTTTGATAGCATCACAAAAGCATCAACTAGCACTATTCAACTTTCTGCCTATGAAAAAGAACAAACATCTTTTTTATGCATCTGCATTTTGGATACAGTCCTTTGAACAGTTAAAGTGGTATGCTTAACTCTTTTTGTGGCCTCTAATGAATAAAATAATCTGCAGTATATACCTGAATGTAAGATGTACTAATTTCTGACATATCTAATACTTGCTCAGCCATGGTCATCAAGTTCTAAGTTTTTATGTCACTGACAACATGTGTGCCAAAAATCTCTCGCGGAACACATGCCTGTCTTCTTTCTGAGGTTCAGTGATAGTTGCTCTTAAAGCAGAGTAGCTGGCTTTCCAAGCATCATTGATCTATTTCAACTACCGTAGCCAAGAGGAAGAGAGAACATGACAGAGAAAATTTTAACTGGAAAGTATTTTGACATAACTGTGACAAACCAAACTTAAGCACATCACAGCAGGCATTTGTACAGGGATACAGGAAGTTAGCAAATGCCAAGGTGAAGTCAGAACTCTGACACCAGTGTATATTTTTGAAATTATTGCTAATCGGAAAAAAAGCAGCAGTGAACACTGAAAGGGTTTTATTTAAAACAGAAAATAAAGCATCAGGAACATTTTCTACCAAATGACTTTACCGCAATTGGACATGCTTCTTAAATACAAATAATTCTAGAGTTTCTGCCTCTCTATTTGCATAAAAGTTCTTGCTCTTCTGAGCCACTGCAAGTAATATCAGTTAGTTCTTTAAGTAGTTTTAAAGTAGACTACTTGGTAATCCTGTACCTCAGGAGTATGACAAATGTCAGATTTTCTTCTCTTGAGAACTAGAAGCTTAAGTATCAAGCAACAGGTAACAAGCCATTTAAATCACCCGATTTTCTTCAAATAAGAGCTTAGCATAAAAAGTAGTAAAAAAGTTTTCTGTGGACTATTTTTTCCATTGCAACTTCCTTTCTCACCATCTGCCAAGATACTTTCCCCTCTTCAGGATTCCAGCTGTGTCTGCTGCTGTTGTTTTGTTGTTGTTATATACCATCAAGTCATTTCCAACCAGTGATGATTCTATGAATTAGTAAACTCCAAAAGCTCCTAGGTAAAGGTAAAGGTTCCCCTTGACAATTTTTGTCCAGTCGTGTTCGACTCTAGGGGGCGGTGCTCATCCCCGTTTCCAAGCCATAGAGCCAGCGTTTGTCCGAAGACAATCTTCCGTGGTCACATGGCCAGTGCGACTTAGACACGGAACGCTGTTAACTTCCCACCAAGGTGGTGCCTATTTATCTACTTGCATTTGCATGCTTTCGAACCGCTAGGTTCGAAAGCATGCAAATGCAACAACAAAAAATAGGACCAAAAGGTCCTATCATTAACAATTCTGCTCAGGCCTTACAAATGAAAGACAATAGCTTGCTTTATTGAGTCCATTCATTTCATGTCCCTGTTTTTCTACTGTTTTCACCTTTCCATAGCATCACTTTCTTTTCTAGTAAGTCTTGTCATCTCATTATATACCCAAAGTATGATAGCTTAAATTTATTAATTTTTGCTTCTAGTCAATTCAGGCTAACTTGCTCTAGCATCCATATTTATCTTTCTGGCATGTCCTCCTCCAATGCTGTATTTTGAAGGAACAGAATTATTTTTCTCTTGTCACTTTTTTTTCACTGTGAAGTAAAAAACAACAACAATGGAACATATTAATTGGGAATACTGTACTATGAATAATCTTGGTCCTGGTTTTCAGTGAGGTAAACTTGGTTTTAAGGAACCCTTCTAGTTGTATGTGTTCAGAAATACAACCAGGATCTTTTAGTGTGTGTCAATTTGATGCCAAGACTTCTATGATATATTTTATGCAAGAGTAAATTCTGTGTTGCTATGAGAAAGGTGAAAAATCCATCTTTAAGAAGGCCAATCATGCTGGTGGATAAAATCCATTTTAAGCTCCAATGACTGCAGTGAGATGTATCAATAACAATGGATCATGTCACAAGTTGTCTGAGGGACAATCCTACAAACCTGATGAGAACATGTGGGGCCCCTTCATATGCCCTGGAACTGACAAGAGAGAACTGTCTCTAGTCCACCCTCAAGTGCTCTATCTCCCCAGACTCTGCTTCCAGCACCACACAAAGGAGATAGCAAAACACACCTTCCTGAATGTCATTGAGCAGAATGTCTTAATAGAGAGAAAAGAGGTGGACTGAATTAAAACTGAGTAGTTCTGTTTGCTCAAAGAATATGACTGGACACCAGATGTTCAAGTCTTGGGATTGTTAGGAAGCATTCAGATTTTATTTATCTTTTTTGTCCTCCCCAATACCACATGTAGAAGTTCAAGTGGAAAGAACAGACAAATTTTTCTTTGTCCAAGGCAGAGCTTGTGCCAATTTTCAGCTAGAAGAGACATGTACATTTCCAGTGCAGTGACGAATCACTCCTCGCGTATCTCAGGGGATACAGATCAGAAGAAAGCATGTAGAACAAGAAATGCAAATGACTGGCATTTCTTATTCCACAAGCATCCTAGAACACACTGCTTTAAGAGCAGCATTTCCACGCACCTTCACTGCCAAGAAGTTCAATCCACTTTCATGGGCCAGAGCCTTTGCAATCATTGTTTTTGAACATCCTGGAGGTCCATAAAGCAGCACTCCTTTTGGTGGCTGGATCCCCATTCGAATGAAAGACTCTGGATGCTTCAGAGGCCATTCAACTGCTTGTTTCAATTTTAATTTGACATCTTCCATCCCTCCAATATCTGACCAAGACACCTGTAAAAAAGAAACAAATTCAGGTATCAGTTGGAGACATTCTGAAGTACAAAAGAATAAAAGTAAACGTAAGAGTGTACTTTCCCTTCTATTTCTGCTGATCTTTCTCCAAGTCCTATTCTGGTACCTCACTGTTTCATAGAGGTGACCCTAGGCTCCTAAAGCCCATGCAAGCAGAGCATGAATAATGTAACTTATGCTTTGCTTATGCGACAAACTGAATATCTCTAAATACTTTATTTTTCTAATAAAACAATTATTCTTAAAATCCTAGGTTTGGTCTCTTGAACAGAAAATCTGCTGAGCCTGTTTCCAGAATAATAAAACACTGGGACACATAGAGTCCTTTTTGCCTGAGCTCTGTTCATCCTGGCAGACTCCAAAGCTCATGATTTTATCTTTGTTTTTTCTCTCTTAATTGCTTATAAGAACAGACTTGTGGAAAAGGATTTGTGTCACCTGCCTGGCTGGGTTACCCGGACTCTGCATAGCTAATTAGGAATGCACATTCGCCTGGACCCTCTCTGTTCGACCATCAAGCATCCTTTAGGGGATCTTGGTGCCGACATCTGTTAGCCCCATCTAATCAAGTCACAGGTGTCAATCTCAGAATAATCATTCCAGTACAATATATTAGAAAGGAAAGACTTACTTTTGGTACATCAATTGCCACTTCCCTCATGGCACTTGGCCTTACATCATTCATCGCTTGCAGGAAGTCACTGTGAGAGAGGATCACTGAGCCAGACACCTCATCATCAAGTAAGCTTGCTTTCTGCCCAAGAACTCTCTGAAAAGCATGCAATCCTAAGGAAAGTATAGAACAAAAAAATATTACATGGACTTCCTGCTCACCACAAATAAGTAACATACACCATATGCCATAAACCACAACGTGAAGATAGTTCTGTTACCTGAAATAAACAAGCAGAATAGGACAGGATAAGACTATTATTTTACAACAATGTAACAGAGATAGAATAATCCTTCTCCGTGTGTGTTCGTGCACACACACACCTGCAATATTAAAGATGAAATAGATTGATACTACTGGTATTTCTTAAATATCAGGCCAGCTTGTTGTTGTTTAGTCGCTTAGTCATGTCTGACTCTTCGTTACCCCATGGACCAGAGCACGCCAGGCCCTCCTCTCTTCCACTGCCTCCCGGAGATGGGTCAAATTCATGTTGATTGCTTTGATGACACTGTCCAAGCATCTCATCCTCTGTTGCCCCCTTCTCCTCCTGCCTTCACACTTTCCCAACATCAGCATCTTTTTCAGGGAGTCTTCTCTTCCCATGAGATGGCCAAAGTATTGGAGTCTCAGCTTTAGGATCTGTCCTTCCAGTGAGCACTCAGGGTTGAGTTCCTTTAGAATTGATAGGTTTGTTCTCTTTGCAGTTCAGGGGACTCTCAAGAGTCTCCTCCAGCGCCATAATTCAAAAGCATCAATTCTTCGCCAGACAGCTTTCTTTATGGTCCAGCTCTCACTTCCATACATCACGACAGGAAAAACCATAGCTTTGACTATTCGGCCTTTTGTTGGCAAGGTGATGTCTCTGCTATTTAAAATGCTGTCGAGGTTTGTCATCGCTTTCCTCCCAAGAAGCAGGCATCTTTTCTTTTCTGCAGTGATGAGCCCAAGAAGGTAAAATCTCTTACTGTCTCCATATCTTTCCCTTCTATTTGCCAGAAGGTGATGGGACCAGTGGCCATGATCTTAGTTTTTTGGATGTTGAGCTTCAGACCGTTTTTTGCACTCCCCTCTTTCACCCTCATTAAGAGGTTCCTTAATTCCTCCTCACTTTCTGCCATCAGAGTGGTATCATTTGCATATTGAAGGTTGTTGATATTTCTTCTGGCAATCTTAATTCCGGCTTGGGATTCCTCCAGTCCTGCCTTTCGCGTGATGTATTCTGCATATAAGTTAAATAAGCTGGGGAACAATATACAACCTTGTTGTACTCTTTTCCCAATTTTGAACCAATCAGTTGTTCCATATCCAGTTCTGACTGTTGTTTCCTATCCCACGTATAGGTTTCTCAGGAGATAGATAAGATGATCAGGCACTCCCATTTCTTAAAGGACTTACAATAGTTTGCTGTGGTCCACACAGTCAAAGGCTTTTGCATAGTCAATGAAGCAGAAGTTTTTCTGGAACTCTCAGGCTTTCTCCATAATCCAGTGCATGTTAGCAATTTGGTCTCTAGCTCCTCTGCCCCTTCGAAATCAGGTCAGCTAGGGACCGTAAAAAGGCAACACTGACCCCGCCTACAGATTTACAAATTACAGTGAGGTCCCTGTATCGACATGAGAATCAATTCCTTGATCTACCCTGACACCGTGGATATATAAACCCTGTATGTATAACATACAAGGAGGCAAGACAAAGGCCACAAGGAGGTGCCCTTATATGTTGTGAATTCCCAGTGTGGTGTAGTGCAGGGGTTCCCAATCCCCGGTCCGGGCCAAGGAGACAGATCTCCCGTTTCTCCCCGCTCGCACTGGTGGGCCACTGGTGTAGTGGATAGCATGACAGACTAGGACTCAGGAGACCAGGGTTTGAATCCCCGCTTGGCCATGGAACTCACTGTAGGAGTGGAACTGGTAAAACCACTCCTTAAATATCTCACATACCTTGAAAGCCCTGTTAAGATCACAATAGGTTGTTTCCAACTTAACTGCACAGCATAGAACAAAACTGCAGGAAAGTCAAACAACGGATACAGAGAATCCTACTGTATACTCTCTCTCTCTCTCTCTCTCTCTCTCTCTCTCTCACACACACACTGGAACTGGTAAAACCACACACACACACTTTGACCTTCCCCAAGAACATCTTCTGAATGCTCAAAAGCAAGTCTGGAGGGCTGGGAAACCTTCAAAAAAGCCTATGAGGTGCAAAAGCCTATGAGGAGCAGAGGGGGGAATTTGTGGTAAGCAAACTTAAGCCAAAATATTGCCGTGTTTAACAATATGGCATCCACTTTGACTACTACAGAACAATTTTTAGTAAAGAACTCCTTCCATGCAGTTCTGCATATGCAGTATGCACAACTGCATGGAAGTTACATGCACTGCAACATGATTTACAAGGAATTATTGATCTAGCCAGATTCAAATACACCAACACCAACATTTGAAACAATAAACCAGCTATTTGCTCACATCATTTGTTGTTGTTATGTGCTGTTAAATCAGAACCAACCTACAGAGACTATAATAGGGCTTTCAAGGTGAGATATTTAAGGTGTGGTTTTACCAGTTCTGCACACCCTCAGTAAGCTTCCATGTTGAGCAAGGATATGAACCCAGGCCTCCTGAGTCCTAAACCATCACTCTATTTACTACAACAAAATGGTTCAGAACACTGGGACACAAAAAATAAAGTTCTGTGTTAAAAATTTCACTTCCTATTGTAGAAAGTACAGTGGTGCCTCACATGACAACGTTAATTCGTCCCGCGAAAATCGCTGTAAAACGAAAATGTCGTCATGCGATTTTAAAAAGCCCATAGAAACGCATTTTCACTTGACGACGATTTCGTTCTACAGCGATTTTGCTGGAATGTATTATCATCGTCAAGCGGGGCACCACTGTATTTGAACAAGTAAAAGAAGTACTGTATGTTTTACATCTGTTTCCTGATTTTAAAAATGGGCATCTTATGGTCTTCATCAAAGATACACAGTACTTCTCATCTGTCACAAACCTCTTGTGATAAAATTTGGTACATAGAAGGGAATATTTCACAACATCCTGTCTTATTTTCTTTATATGACATACATTTTCAAATAAGTTATTCTTGCCCTATACTGCATATGTTCAAGATTAAGGCCAACGCAAGTAGGCTATTCAAGAAGCAGACATCAATCCTCCCCTTCCCCCATAAGCCCTTTCCAGTCTGCAAGAAATGCAACAGATAATTGCTGATGGACTGTGATACATGAGAAATCAGGTGGAAGCACCTTCTGCAAACACAGCTTCACTCATAGAAGGTGCTGCAACCCTTTGTGTTGTCTCTTTTTTTGCAAGCTGAAAGGACCTTCGTGTGGAAAGATAAATCAGTGGTAAGGCCAAGAGGGAGATGGACAACACAGGCATGTTGAGTCACATAGTATGTCCAGACGCATGACCGAAATGTCATGGTGGAGAAGGGGAGGGGGATAGACTGAAAGGAAGTCAACAATAAAGGACTCAACAGGAGGAAACAAAAAAGAGCACTAAAACTGCACCAAAAAGCATCAGCTTCCTATGGTGGTTATAGTGTTGGTCTATGCCTCAGAAAATCTGGGTTAAAAGGTCCACTCAGCCATGAAACTCACAGGGTAACCATGGGCCAGCCACAGTCTCTCAACCTGACCTACCTAACAGGGTTATTGTGAGGAAAAAGCACAAAAAGGCCAGCAACATTTGCTGCTTTGAGTTCAGTGGAGGAGCGAGAGCCAGACAGAAATGCATTCAGCATGGGAATGGAGGTCCTCATTTCTATCCATCACATTGCATGTGCCTAAATCCACTTTTCTACAGCTGAGCAACACAGCTGTTGTAATCTTAAATCTTAAAAAAATAATTTAAAAAAAGGAACACAGGCCAGAACTCTGCAAATTAATCCTTAATTTCTTAAGGTACTAGCTTGTGCACGTCATTCCATAGGCCAACGCTCATTGTAAAATGTTGTTTCAATTAAAGCAATAATGAGATACAGACCAAAGGCAAGTTTTCCATTCTTCCTGTTTCCTCTTGTTAGCAACATTGGTTGCTGCCCTCCCTATTGACCCCTGACCTTAAACAGCGGTTGCATTATTGCCTAGAAAAGATCAAGTCAGTACCTTGCCAGGATGATATACAACCCTCTTTAAAAGATAAATAACTTCTTTTAAAAAAAATATCAAAAGCAGGCCTCTAATTTGTAGGATGACACAAGTCTTCAGCAATGAACTCACATTGTGTTTAAATACAATATTGAGGGGGGAAAAGATCTGGCTGGCGAAATGACAATTTTTAAAGTGGGATCGCAATGCTAGATCAGACACAGCCTTTATTCTGTATTTCAAGGTAACTTTAAGCGCATACTTATGACTCATTTATTTCCAGTAGCTCGTGAACATGTTCTTTTACGTACTATTCACTATTTTATCTTTTTATTATAAACAAAAATAATTGCCAATACTCTTACAAAATCTATGTAGCCTTTTTAAAAGAGTAAGTCACTGCTGTAAAAGTATGAGCCATTTTGTATTTACCAGCATTGTCCCAAAACTGACTTATAGATTTACCAACAATGGATAGCTTTTTAAAGGTTCATACATAAAAGCACTAACACAAGAATAGAGAGGAAAACTGTGCACTAGTGCAGTTCAATTATTTTTCCCAGTTGTGCAAGCAGTAGCCAAATGTGTTTTGACAGAAAGATCCTTATTAGGTAACTAATCTAATACCCCAGCAGAGCTTTGACATACTTAACTAGAAACAATTTGTCACTTATTCTTGTGTTCCTCTAATGGAGGTAAAACTAAGGGCTCTTCCAGGTAGGACAACTGCATTGCTTTGGTCTCCCTTTCTGTTGAAATTTACGTAGATTTATCAGGATGCACCAGGACTAGAGTTCAACCCAATAAGGAGGAGTAGGGCCATGTGCAGCTCCAGAAGGAATTAAAGAAACAGCTCCCAAGACTGTTGAAGTAATCTCTATCTTTGTCCTCTTGTTCAAGTGTTGAAAGTGAGCAACAGAGAAAAAAGAGGTGGATGGGAACAGAGTGAAAAGTGTTGTGAGGATCACTGAGAGAGGGAACAGCAACATACAA